TTTGTTGGATCATAAAAAATATCACCACAGACCACAAAAATAAAAAATGGAACAAAAGAAAAACTACAAGACAGGTGATGTATAAGCTGATCCTCTGACATGTAAACAATTCTAAGACTGGATGAGTCTTGATAAGTCCTGTTGGCTACAGAGTGCTCATGACTTATTGTTACATGCCATCTTTTCATACTGCATGGATAGAGGTTTGTATTATAGTTTGTTATACAGTCCAAACAAACATAAAGTTAACAAATGCCTTTTATTTGCTCAAGCATAAAACAATCTTTAACTGACTTGTACACACTTTACATTCCATACTTGAGTTAATGCAGATATATATGTTACCTTTAAAAGTTTATGTGTTTTCCAGGCATTGGTGGTGCATGCCTTTAATCCCACCACTCGGGAGGCAGAGGCAGTTGTAGTTCTGTGGGTTTGAGGCCAGCCTGGTCTACAGAGTGAGTGCCAGGACAACCTCCAAAACAATACAGAGAAACCCTTTCTTGAAAAAAAAAAAAAAGCTTATGCGTTTTCAGAAAAAAGGACCAGACACCACTAAAGACAAGTAGCCCAGGTGATCCAACCTCTCAAAATGCCTCTGTTGCAGTTTCCTCAAAATTCTGCATCCAGAACAACTTCAAAGCTGCTCGATGAGATGATCCAGCCTCACAAACTACTCCAGCCACACTCCTTCAATCCCAGCACTTGGGAGGCAGAAGCAGGTAGATCTCTGTGATTTCAAGGTCTACATAGTGAGTTCCAGTACAGCCAGAGATATACATTAAGACTTTGTTTAAAATAAAAAAGCTAGCCTGTAGGCAAGTTTATGGGGACATTTTCTTGATTAATGCTCGATATAGGAGAGACCAGCCAAATAGTCCTGGGTTGTAGAAGCAAGCTGAAGCTGGGTAATGATGGTGCTTGCCTTTAATCCCCAAGAGGCAGAGATAGGCAGATCTTTATGAGTTCTAGGCCAGCCTGGTCTACAGAGAGAGTTTGAGAACAGCTAGACTACAAAGCAAGTTGCAGGCCGGCCAGCCAGAGCTACATCATGAGATTTTGTCCGAGGAAAAAAGAAAACAAAAGCAATCTGGACAAGCCATGGGGATAAACCAATAAGCAGTGCTCCTCCATGGCCTCTGCTCCAGGTTCCTGCCTTGAGTTTTTGCTCTGGATTCCCATGGTGATGAACTATAACACGGAAGTGTAAGTCAAATAAATCCTTTCCTCTTCAAGTTGCTTTTGACCACGTTGTTTATCATAGCCACAGAGAGCAAACTAGAACTTGGGCCCTCTTTTTATGAAATAGCTGACTTTCAAGCTGGAGATACAGCTCTGTGAGTAAAATACCCCTGGGCTGGACCCTGTGGTGTGCATCTGTAGTTCCAGTGCTGCTGGCAGAATGGAGACACGGAAATCCCTGGAGTTTGCTGCGCAGGCGTCCTAGACCAATCAGTGAGCTCCAGGTTCAGTGAGAATCTTTTTTTTTTTTCAAAAAACAAAAACAAGGTTGAGAGTAATAGAAGAAGACACCCAAAGTTGACCTCTGGCCCCCACACAGGTGCGCATACACCTGCATGCATGTCTGCACACACCCATGTGAATACATGGACACCACACACACACTACTCAGCTTCCTCCTCACCATGACCATCCAATGAGAACAGATATTTTAGGGTAACCCCAGATACTTGAATGGACTCCAGTGGTAACGGGCCATAGTTCAGAAGCCTTCGATCAGTGGAGCCAGTCTTTAGGGGAGAAGCAATTACAGATTTGGCTGTGCCATGCATGGCTGTTTGGCCAAATGCCTGTGGCATCAAAGTTGTGACTCTCTTATCACCATTTGGCAAGCCATCACCATTCCTTTATTACATCATAGTAAACTCCTACCACGTGGGATGCAGCTGGTCTGAGAAGAAATCACTCCAGAACCTCCCTGCTCTTAAGATGCTTACAGGCTAATAGAGGCATGGAGTGACCTCTAAACTAGTGAATTGACAGTATGTTCAGAGAACTGTTCAGGGGCTGGAGAGATGGCTCAAAGGTTAAGAGCACTGACTGCTCTTCCAAAGGTCCTGAGTTCAATTCCCAGCAACCACACGGTGGCTCACAACCATCTACAATTCAATCTGGTGCCCTCTTCTGGCATGTAGGCAGAACACTTTATATGTAATAAATAAATAAACCTTAAAAAAAAAAACAGAGAACTGTTCATAATCCTGCCATTCAGCAATTTTAAAAAATCACCACTGTTGACATGGTGCATTTCCTCTGTTTTCTGATATGGAATAATTTCAGGTCTTTTTTTTAATCTGCAAAAGTAAAATTTCCGGAGTGGGGGAGACAGCTAAGTGGTTAAGAGTGCATTCTGTTCTTGCTCCTAAGTTGGGCTCCCAACACCACGTAGAGTGGCTTACAACTGGCTGTAACTCCAGCTTCAGGAGGATTCACACAAACACATAAATAAGAATAAATCTAAATAACAATAAGAAGTTTTTTTTTTGGCTTTTTGAGACAGGGTTTTTCTGTGGTTATGGAGGCTGTCCTGGAACTAGCTCTTGTAGACCAGGCTGGCCTCAAACTCACAGAGATCCACCTGCCTCTGCCTCCCAGTGCTGGGATTAAAGGTGTGTGCCACCAACGCGGCATCAATAAGAACTTTTTTTAAAGTGACCGGCTGGAGAGATAGCTCATTGATTAAGAGCACTTGTTACTCTTGCAGAGGACCAGTGTTTAAGTCCCAGAACCCACATGGTGGTTCATAATCATCTGTAACCAGTTCTAGGGGACCCAATTTTCTCTTCTACCTCTGTAGAACCAGAAGTACACATACATGCACATAATAAAATAAAATAAGGCATTCATTTAAAATAATGGACAGGTGAGATGGCTCAGTAGGTGATGGTGCTTGCCACCTAACCTGATAGCCTGAGTCTAAGCACCAGGCACCACATGGTAGAAGGAGCTAACTCACTCTTTTTTTTTTTTTTTTTTCGAGACAGGGTTTCTCTGTATTGAACTCACTTTTTTTTTTTTTTTGGTTTTTACGAGACAGGGTTTCTCTGTATTGTTTTGGAGGCTGTCGGTCCAGCCCAGCCTCGAACTCACAGAGATCCGCCTGCCTCTGCCTCCCGAGTGCTGGGATTAAAGGCGTGCGCCACCACCGCCCAGCTGAACTCACTCTTTTTATTTGTCCTCTGACCTTCACATGTGCACCATAGCACATATATACCCCTCCCCCACCCATAGGCATTCACACATACATATACCCCTCACACACAAAATGTACAAATTTTGAGACAAGTTCTACCATGTAGCTCTGTCTTTCCTGGAACTCACTATGTAGACTAGGCTGCCCTCAAATGGAGATCGACTTGCTTCTGTCTTCTGAGTGTTGTGATTAAGGGCGTGTGCCACTGTGCAGTATGTGTGTAATTATTTTAAAAGTAAAATGTTCAGAGACAGCTATTGAGACACATCCCTGCAATTACATCACTCGATAAAGGTGTGGTCAGGGTTCCTCATATATGTTAGGCAAACAAGCACTCCATCTAGTTTAATGCAACCCACATGTTTTTATTTCTATTTATTATTGTTATTATTATTTTGGCTTTTTGACACAGGGTTTATCTGTGTAGCCGTGGCTGTCCTGGAACTCACTCTGTAGCCAGGCTGGCCTCGAACTCACAGAGATCGCCTGCCTCTGCCTCCTGAGTGCTGGAATTAAAGGTGTGTGCCACCACTGCCCGGCAATATTTTTTATTATTTATGTATGATGATTACCTGCACATATGAATGTATACCACATGCATGTCCGATGCCAGTAGAGGCCAGAAGAGGGCATTAGATTCCCTGGAAGTGGGGTTAGGATGGTTGTGAACAGATATGTTGAAGGGACACTGGCCCGCTCAAGCATGTGACTGGCAGGCCTTGTCCTTCCCCCATCCCTCTCCTCCCTAAAAACAGTTAGATTATATTCTTTTTCTTTCTTTTTTCTTTTTGGTTTTTCGAGACAGGGTTTCTCTGTATTGTTTTGGAGACTGTCCTGGAACTTGCTCTGTAGCCAGGCTGGTCTTGAACGAACAGAGATCCACCTGCCTCTGCCTCCGGAGTGCTGGCAATAAAGGCATGAGCCACCAACGCCCAGCTTAGATTACATTCTTAAAGCTGAAGCTGGACTTCAACTCCTGATCTCCTGCCTCCACATTTCTGGGATTATTGGAATGTACAATACCCAGTTTTTAAAGTTCCTCTCAATCCACAGTGATGTACACCTTTAATCCCAGCATTCAGGCGGCAAAGGCAGACAGATGAGTTTGAGGCCAGCCTGGTCTACAAAGATAGTTTCAGGACATCCAGGACTATACAGAGAAACCCTGTCTCAAAAAAAGGAAGATACAAATAAATAAAAACAAATCCCTCTCAGTCAGTTCATTTCCCTTCATGAGGGTATGTGATGTCAAGCAGAGACCAGCATACAGTCTTTGCTATAGGCTTTTGAGTGGGAGAGTGGCAGATCTGTTGTTTGAGGAAGCTTGGATACACTAGAGATGAACGAAACCAAGACCAGAAGGTAGTAGGAGGTGAGTATCGTGATAGAGAATGCTGAAGAGAAGGAAGTCAGACAACTTGGAAAGAAAGGGCTAAGAGCCAGATGGGTGGCCCATGTGTATAAGCCCAGCACTCAGGAGGCTGAAGCCGCGGGATAAATTCGCTGTTGACATGGGTTACATAGTAAATTCCAGATCATTCTGGGCTACAGTGTGTTCCTTCCTATTCATTGAGAAAATAAATGACTTTATCAGTCGCTAGAAATAAGGATAATGGGGACCTCAGTTAATTAAAGGGAGTCTTTTTGGATGAGGCTGTCTTTAGGCACATGCGGTCTTTACTGGGCTCACATGGTTGGTCTTGAGGACCTCTAGGAAGCAGCGGGTTTCTTCCGAGCCCTCCTCAGGAGAGCGAGGGCTCCTTCCGGTTCACAGCCTCTTCCTTCCGCTTTGCTTCACGTTGGCGGTCATCACCTGTTCAGACACTTCCGGCGCCATGAGCTCGACGCCCCAGGTAAGCGACTGTTTAGCAGGCTCCAGCGGCATAACCTGAAGGCAGCAGGGACCACTACGTTTGTTCTTCTCTCTCGTCAGAGAAGGGGGGATCCCGTGGGACCTTCTGGGCAGCGCCCTTTGCCTGGTCCAGTGTGGCAGCAGCCCTCGCCCAGGCCACGGGAAGAGACAGCTTGGCTGAGGAATGGTAGGGACCCTGCCTGGCCAGGGTTTGTGTTCAGTCATTTCTCTACAAAGTTCTGGGAATGTGGATGCTTCTCTGCGCGTGACCACCACTGTGTGGGCCACTAAGCCACCACAGAATGGCCTTGTTGCTAGGGTCCTAGGACCCACCCCTCCGCCACCTTCGGCAGCCGCCTAGGAAAGATGACTTTTGGGGGGGGGAGGAAAGATGAGTTGTTTTTTTATTTTTTGTTTGGTTTGGTTTTCTGTGTTTGTTTTGACCTTTTTTTGAGACAGTTTGTTTTGTTCTATTTTGAGACAGCCTCTCTGTGTAGCCTTGGCTGTCTTGGAACTCGTTCTTACTCTGTAGACCAGGTTGACCTCAGTCTCGCAGAGAATTTGTGTTTTTTGAGGCAGGGCCCCTTCTGTAGTTCAGGCTGGCCTGGAACTCTTGGCAAGCCTTCCTCAGCTTCACAGGAGTGTGTGACCAGTCAGCCCTGGCTGGATAAGCATTTTGGGTTTGGTTTTGTTTTGTGTTTTCTAAGACACTTTTTCTCTGTGTTACATCCCTGGCTATCTTTTGTAGACAAGGCTGGCCTGTAACTCACAGATCCACCTGTGTCTGCCTACTAAATGCTAGAATTGACGTCCAGCTCTGGATGAGCAAATTTCTTTTGTTTGTTTGGTCGGTTTTTGGTTTTTCGAGACAGGGTTTCTCTATAGCTTTGGAGGCTGACCTGGAACTAGCTCTGTAGACCAGGCTGGTCTCAAACTCACAGAGATCTGCCTGCCTCTGCCTCCCGAGTGCTGGGATTAAAGGCGTGCGCCACCAACGCCGGGTGTAAGTGGTTTTCTTAATGTACACATGAGCACCATATTTGTGCTTGGTACCCCAGAGGTCACAAGGTACCAAATCCCTTGAACTGGAGTTGTGGTGAGACTCGTGAGCTGCCATGTGGATGCTGGGAGCAGAACCTGGGTTCACATAAAATAAATAAATCTAAAGAATGAATAAATACATTTAAATATGATAAGGAATAAACAAAAATGCCTGATAACATTATACACTTTAGCATGGACCCGTGGCTTGTTGTCCAGGGACAGATAGTCAGTTTCTTTAAATTCTCCTAATTCTACAACTCATCTTCTGGACGTCAGTATATTCATTGACAAAACAGGAAGATACACACACACACACACACCATGTCTTATGATTGTTATCAGTCAAGACAAATAATAGCATTTTTACAAGTCTAGAGCCCCATACAACTATACTGAACATTCTGGAAGCAGGATGTTGTTTCCATAACTCAATATCAGGACTGTAGTGGATTTGTTCATTTAAGAAGCTGTCTGTTGGCCAGGCAGTGATGGCACCCATCTTTAGTCCTATCACTGAAGAGCTGGTGGGGGTGAGCAGAGGCAGGCAGATCTCTGTGAGTTCAAGGCTAGCATGGTCTACAAAATGAATTCCAGGACCGCCAAACCTGTTACACAGAGAAGCCCTGTCTCACAAAAAAAAAAAAAAAAAAGCTGCTTTTTTCCCCCTGAGACAGGGTTTCTTTGTGGTTTTGGGGGCTCTCCTGAAACTCGCTCTGTAGACCAGGCTGGTCTTGAACTCACAGAGATTCGCCTGCCTCTGCCTCCCAAGTGCTGGGATTAAAGGCATGCACCACCAATGCCCGACAGTTTTTTTTTTTTTTTTTTTTTTTTTTGGTTTTTCGAGACAGGGTTTCTCTGTGGCTTTGGAGACTGTCCTGGAACTAACTCTTGTAGACCAGGCGCCCGACAGTTTTTTATTTGTTTGTTTTTAAGACAGGGTTTCTCTGTATTGCTTTGGAGCCTGCCCTGGAACTCTCTCTGTAGACCAGGCTGGCTTATATTTGTCTTAGAGGTTATTATTGCTTTACCTTGTTCACAAAGTGCAGTTTGGAGCATCACAAGCTCTCCCGGCTGGCTTTTTGTCCATGTGAACCACCTGTGTTTTTTCTGTCATGTTTGTTTGTTTAGCACTTGATATTCACAGGTGCTCCAGGCTCTTCTTGTCTGTTTCTTCCCCCATCCTAGAATATACCATTTATCTTAGACATAGTGTTGGTCCCAAGTTGTAATCCTAGCAGATGATGTCTGGAAGTTGGGACACATTGGCAGGTGGGCAGGAAGCAGTTGCAGCCGTGGCCCCAGCACCTTGAAGAGGACTTTCCCAGAAGCAGCAGCCAGAATTGCAAGTCCTTAGCCGAGAAACAGGTGACTCACCAGCTCCCAGGTTGTCTCCTCCCTCCCCCTCGTGCTGACAAGACTGTACCTAAACCAGCTTAGACAGAGGGGCCTTGGTCAGAAAGTGTCTCCACCCATGAGACCAGTGAAGAATGACCAGTCTCAGACCAAGGCAGGACATTTACTCATGCCCAGGAGACATCTTCCATGTTTGTCTCATTAGTGTGTTATTCGTATGCCTTCAGAAAGGATTAAAAAATATTGCCCTCAAATCTATACCTCTAATAAAGCTTTTATTTTTCCCTTTGAGACTGGTCCTCATATGTCCCAAGCTGGCCTTTAACCTGCCATATAGCCAAGGAGACCTTGAGCTTCTTATGCTCCTGACACTACATCTTTATTTTATTATTTTGAGATAGAGTCACACTCTGTGGCCCTGGTTGGCCTGGGACTCAATAAGTAGACCAGGCTGGCCTTAAGTGCACAGAGATCTGCCTGCCTTTGGTTCCCGAGTTCTGGAATTAAACATGTGTGAGACCATGCACTGCTCTGCCACTACTTTTTAGGTACCAGGATTACAGGAGTGTGCTGAAATAATTCCAGATTTATGTCATGCTGGGAATTGAACCCAGGACCTCATGTGTGATACCACTGTACCTACTCAGCTATATCACCATCCCAACCAGTAAAGTTATTGTTAAAACCCAGGTTAACTCTGGGTGGTGGTGGCTCACACCTTTAATCCCAGCACTCCGGAGGCAGAGGCAGGCGGATCGCTGTGAGTTCAAGGCCGGACTGGACTGACAGCCTCCAAAACAATACAGAGAAACCCTGTCTCGTAAAACCAAAAAAAAAAAAAAAAAAACCAGGTTAAAGGACAAGAGTATTCCAGAGGGGAGGGAGGGAGAGAGGGAGGGAGGGGGAGAGAGAGAGAGAGAGAGAGCATGCGTGCGTGCGTGCGTGCGTGTTGAGTAGTTTTGTCCTGACCCCCTGTGCAGCATCCTCAGGATACCAGAAGGGCTTTCAGAGACAAATACCCTTTGACTTTCGTTATATAGCTCTGACAGTGGTGAAGTGATTGACTGTTGGAGTCACTCAGTTTATGAGCTGAAGAAGAGGGAAGACTGAGTTTAAAGTCCCCTCCCTTTCCAGGAGGACGAAGTGAGCAGCCTTCACACTTTCCAGGGCAATATAAAGGAAGGACAATGCTTTAGACACCTTTCAGTAGCTCAATAAATAAACTTAGGGCGATGTGTCTGAGGATTTAGGGGCTTTTGAGGCCACAATTAGGATCATTAGCATCTTTAGATACTTAGATAAAGGTAATGGGGGAGGTAGACACTGGAATATAATAGTGGGTCCTGGGAGGCCTACAATTTTTCAAGAGTGGTCAAGCCAGCAACTTTTCAGCCATTTTCACACCCAGGTTTTTGTTTGCTTGTTTGTATTTTGTTGTAGTCTTGAGTAGCCTTGGATGCCTGTTGTTCATCATGTAAACTAAACTGGCCTTGTTTTCTGGCAGTCCTGCTGCTCCGATTCCCACGTGCCGAGATAGAGGAGTGCCACCGTATCAGGCTAAACTTCTGTCCTAGTATACTAGATGTCTCTTCAGTGGTCATCTCCTCCCCCCTTTGCAGTCTTGTGCTTTCCCCAGACTCACGAACGCCTGCCTGCTTGTGTGAAAGTGTCTCGGTGATCCTTGTGCAGACAGAGGAAAACTGCCTGGGGAATCAGAGGAAGGATTCTGGGCCTAGTGTCACTTGCTGTGGCTCAGGCTCCTCTCTCACTTGCTCGCTAGGTGACCTTCCTATGGCTACCTGGGAAGTCTTAACTGAGTCTGTAAGTTCCTTTTAGGGTGAGGACTGTAGGTGGCCCAGAAACAGTATCTGCAAATAGGTAATTATGATGTGCTTTCGTGATAATGATCATATTAGGTACTGGGCTGGGGAGATGGCTCAGTAGTTAAAGGTGCATGCTGCCTTTGAGAGGCCGAGTTCAGTTCCTAGCACCCATATAGGCAGCCTCATAATTGTGTGTAACTCCAGTTTCAGAGGCTCCGAGGCCTCTTTCGGTCTCCTCAGGCACTGTTCACATGCGCATATTCATACCCATGTACAGACACACATTTAATTAAAAATAAAAAAGTTTAAAAAGGATAACAGTAGATACTTTGGGATGCACGTGGGGGGTGATGAAGAAATGCCCAAGCAGTGAAGAGCACTCTTTACACTGTAAAGAATGAGTTTGGTTCTAAGCACCTTACAGCTGCTAATAACCACGTGACCTGCAGTTCCAGGGGATCTGACATCCTCTTCTGGCCTCCATGGGTACTGTATGCATGCAGTACACAGACATACATGCAGACAAAACACTTTACATACATTACATCTTTTTAAAGTATTCAAAAATATGTTTGATAGTGAAAGTATAAAATCCAGTGTGAAATTCCACACTTCTGTTCTGTATGGCTATTCTGTATAGAAGTTCATGGACCACACTGAGCCATCTCTCCAGCCCTGTGTATTTTTTATGTGCTAGACATTAAACAGGGGGCCTCATGTATGCTAGGTGAGCACTGTCACAGATGACATCACCAGTACCTATATGTATTATATTTTTGCTTGATTGTTTTGAGACAGGGTTTCACTATGTAGTCCTGACTGGTCTAGAACTTAACTATGTGTTGACCAAGCTGGCCTCAAACATACAGAGATCCTTCTACCTCTGCTTCTGCCTCCCCACTGCTGGGAATACAGGCATGGGGCGGCTGCCAGCCAAGTTATTTGTTTGAGACAGGGTCCCACATTGTAGCCCAGGTTGGTCTCTATCTGTCTTTGTGCAACAGAGGATCCTTTGTGAACTTCTGATCCTTCTACCTCCACCTCCAGGGTGTTTGGATTAGAGGAATGCTCCACCAGGTCAGTGGTCCTGGGGATCAGTCCCAGGGCTTTATACATGCTAGGCAGGCACTCGGGGCTACAATTTCAGCCTCACTCCCAGTAGATTGAAAGATCCTTTATTAATAAAATTACTGTACTGACATTTAATGCTCATACCAACATGTGTATAAAAGGTTTAATGTGATGTGTTTAATTTGAACATGCTGTATTATGGGTTCTGTAGCTTGCGTCTTCCTACTAACAATAAATCATGGATATATCAAATATCATATGTCGCTCTTTGTCCTTGTACCTTCGTGGTGCCAGGTTTTCATATCCCTTTCTTCTCTGGATGCTTTGCTATCTCTGAATGTTCTGCAGAGGGCGGTCCAGGTCGGTGGGCGGGGTCCGGGCCACTTGGGACATGCAGATGAGGTGGGCGGGGCCCAACATATATACCCTTTGCTAGCCTCTAGCGGGCGTGCCCAGCTTGGACAGACTGTCTGCGTCCTCCTGCGCAACCTGCTTCCCCGAGCGCTGCGGAGCCTGGTCCGGGCTGGCCCCTCTGCTACCCCGGGAGCGGGCCATGCCGCCGCGGGAGCTGAGCGAGGCCGAGCCACCGCCTCTCCCAGCTTCGACCCCTCCTCCACAGCGGCGCAGCGCACCTCCCGAGCTGGGCATCAAGTGCGTGTTAGTGGGCGATGGTGCGGTGGGCAAGAGTAGTCTCATCGTCAGCTACACCTGTAATGGTTACCCCGCGCGTTACCGGCCCACGGCACTGGACACCTTCTCCGGTATGTTCTACTGCCTCGGGACCCCTAAGGCTGAGGTGGGGTTGTGGATTAGGGCGGGTGTGCTGGCGGGAGGGCACCGAAGACCCCCGGGAGCAGGCCCAGAGGCGGCGCTGGTGAGGCCTGCCTAGAGGGCCGAGATGCTGTGCCTAACTCATGCTTTCCCCTCCCCACCCCTGCAGTGCAAGTCCTGGTAGATGGATCCCCTGTGCGAATCGAACTCTGGGATACCGCAGGGCAGGTAAGAAGCTGGGTGTAGCCTTCGTTTGGAGAGGGTTGGAGGTTGGGAAGATTCCTGTATGGATTCCTGTAGGAATAGAGTGGGCCTTGGTCTTTAGGAGTCTTAGGTCTCCACCCCACAAGGGAGAAGCAGATCTCTGTTCCAATGGGAAGGAAATGATCTTGCTAAAGACTGATCTTGCTAACGAGTGGTCTTTGCCACCCCAGGAGGATTTTGAACGGCTTCGCTCCCTCTGCTACCCGGATACTGATGTGTTTCTGGCTTGCTTCAGTGTGGTGCAGCCCAGCTCCTTCCAGAACATCACAGAAAAATGGCTGCCTGAGATCCGCACTCACAACCCCCAAGCACCTGTGCTGCTGGTGGGCACTCAGGCTGACCTGAGGGATGATGTCAATGTACTAATTCAACTGGACCAGGGAGGCCGGGAGGGCCCAGTACCCCAACCCCAAGCCCAGGGTCTGGCCGAGAAGATCCGGGCCTGCTGCTACCTTGAGTGCTCAGCCTTGACGCAGAAGAACTTGAAGGAGGTGTTTGACTCAGCCATTCTCAGTGCCATAGAGCACAAAGCCCGCCTGGAAAAGAAACTGAACGCAAAAGGTGTGCGCACGCTCTCTCGCTGCCGCTGGAAGAAGTTCTTCTGCTTTGTTTGAGCAGTTATGACTGTGCAAGAGGTAGGCAGGTGGCCCGAGACTGCTGGACCCTGGGACATCGGGTACTACTAGCAGAGCCTGGCCAGCTCCCGGGATTCAGCTCTCTGGTGATCTCAGGGGAGTCAGGCCTCTGGCCGCACACTCTGGTAAGACAGGGTGAGAGCTCTGTCCTTTGCAAGGAGGCTGGTTTCGATTTGGATTTCTTTGGTCAAGACTCGAAGGAAAATCCCAGTGCTTTGCTTTTCATGGGATACTCACATCAGTGTCGGTGTCTCTGAGCAGTTTGGGATGCATGTAATTCCCAGTTTCTTACCACGGGGCCACGGGTCAGCTTGGTTGAATGCAGGCCCCCTGTGAATGTGTTCACCCTCTCCGAGCACAGGTGTGACAAAGCAGGATAAACAGTGAGGCATCGTGGAGGTTTGGAAGGTGGTCAGCTTTGATTTGGAGAGGTTTGAGTATGAAGAAGAGGCCAGTGAGAAATTGAGTCGGGCAATGGAAAGTAAGGCCTGAAGTGTTCCACTGGAGGTAGATTGGAGGACTGGCCTGTAAGGAGGAAGAAAGACAGCAGGAGTGGACAGCTGTTGAGAAGCCTGACACCTGGCTGCCCTCAAGCCCCAAGGCCAGGGAGGATGGGGCTGCTCCCTGGGAAGAACTGGGTCTCAGGGCTCCCTAGGCACTGCCCAAACTGGCTAGGCCAGCAGAGGGGCAGGAAGTGAGAGTCCAGGCCCAGCATAGGGAGGGGGAGGAGCTGCAAATAAGAGCCTGAAGGAGGAAGGGTAGGGACCATCCCTTTCCCCAAGGTCATAGCTTAGAAGGTGAACAATGCAATTTGCAAATAAAGCCTTCTGTTTCTGAAGCTGCTGTCTCTGTGGTTTCCTGGATCGCTCAGCCCAATGCCCTTCCTAACCTTTCTTAAGGCCCCACAGCCTGGGTAGATGGAGGAGGAACTCAAGCTTGGTGGAAGGGTGGGGGCTGGGAGCTGGGTCAGATGGGACAGTGTGATGGGAACTGGACTAGGGGGAACAGGTGTGGGGCTCCCTGCTTGGGGCTTGGCTTAGCTGGTTCCCAGGAGAGCTAGCGTGGGAAGCAGCCTGGAAACGGGTTTCCCCAGGTGTCAGCGCCAGAGCTGCTTTCCCATGACCTCACCAGGTAGGTGGGGCCCTCCCCACTCCCCCTCCTTTCTAGAATACGATGATCAGACTGGGACTCTAGGACAGTCTCAAGCCCATCCTCCCATCCTCTGAACGGTTTTCGGGACCCACGGTGTAGCTGGGGAATGTCACCCCAGCTTAAATACCAAGGGTATACAGCTTTACACTTCAATCACTGGCCAAAGTGTGTAGCCTAGGGTTGGTTGGACCTGTCTTCAAACATAAAGATTTATTGCAGGTCAGGTGCTGCCTGTGGACATTGTAAATAGAAGTTTGGTCCCAGGAATCCTGTGTCCATGAGGTTCACTGGCAGAAGGCTTGAAGGGGAATAGGAATTCAAGGATTAGAACTAGGAGGAACGTCAGAAAACATTTTTGGGGAAAACAAAGCTTATTTTGCCTTAAGGAAATCATTGTCTGGAGACAAAAAGGCCGCATGTCAAGTGAGATACTACCAGGTGGTCAGAGGACACCATCAGGTGTGTGGATGACATTCTATGGAAGTCTTTCTGTGCACACCTACAACACCTACTAGACACCTGCTGGGCCAGGTGAGCATCCATTCCCATCCTCAGGTCCCTTTCCAGGAAGTTGCAGAGGGGCGTGTGTGTGTGTGTGTGTGTGTGTGTGTGTGTGTGTGTGTGTGTGTGTGTGTGTGTGTGTGTGTGTGTGTGTGCGCACATATTGAAGGACAGGAATACTAGCCAAGTGAAACCTTAGGTTAATCCCAAGTGTAGTTGTAGCCTAGACTGCTTCCCATCCCTCGGAGCACCGGCCACCTTCTTTTGTTTCCTTATCTCCTTAGGTAGAGGTGATAAGCTGCAGCAGGACAGATGCATCCAGGACCAGCTGTTACCTAACCTAACCTGACATGCTTCTTTCTAGGACAGAGAGAGACCCAGGCTCACCTTCAAAAGTTCAAGTCCTGATACCCAGCACCACAGGCAGATTTTTTTTTTTTTAAACAGGACCTCACTTCATAGCTCTGGCTGGCCCGGAACTCAAAAAGATCCCCCTGCCTCTGTTCTCCAAGTGATGGAATTAAAATCATGCCCTGCCACCCATTTCCCTTTTTGTACCTCAGTTTCCATATTTGCAAAATGAGATATTTGGGACCTGGACTGATCTTCAAACCATTCCAAGGGGCCTTGGAACTTTGGGGCATGAAGCCTGATGAAATGACCTTGGCTTCACCACACAATTTCAGCTTTCTCTCATGGTACCAGCATCTCTGAGTCACTGAGGTCTCAGCCTCTGTCCTCATGCTTCCTCTCATGACAGTGGCTGAACCTGGCCAGGATCCCTGTTGACTCACTCCACATCCCTACTGCCTCCCTCTGGCTCCTCCCCGGCCGACTCTGAAGTCAGTTCTTACTGGTTTCAACTGGGCCTTTAAGATGACACCGCTGGGCGGTGGTGGCGCATGCCTTTAATCCCAGCACTCGGGAGGCAGAGGCAGGCGGATCTCTGTGAGTTCGAGGCCGGGCTGGACCGACAGCCACCAAAACAATTCAGAGAAACCCTGTCTCGTAAAACCCAAAAAAAAAAAAAGATGACACTGCCGCCCCCAACAGCAGTCTGAACCAGACCAATTTGCTCCAGTGATCCCCGGCTATCTCCTGGGTTCTTTTGTTTGTTTGTTTGTTTGTTTGTTTTGAAGACAGGGTTTCTCTGTTGCTTTAGAGACTGTCCTGGAACTCGTTCTGTAGACCCAGGCTGCCTTCAAACTCACAGAGATCCACCAGAGTACTGGGATTAAAGGTGAGTGCCACCACTGCCCGACTATCTCCTGATTTTGACTCCAAGGTTTGGTTTGCAATTTGCAAGGTCTAGTTTAGAAAATGTCCCCTGCCCCCTCCCAGATATCCTGTTTCTCCTCCAGCCATCTTCCAGTTCCTCCCTCCTCCAGAAAGTGCGGGGGTGTCTTAGTGTACTCACTGTGGCTCAACATATGGGAGACACACTTAAGAGACTCCCAGATTCGCCAAGGAGACCCGCACTTAGACCCTGTGGGCTTGGGCAGCATGTCCCTTAGCTGTTTAAACTCATCAGAATCATGTTCAGCTCCAGGTTTGTGTCACTGAGACCCAGAAACTGAGGACTGGAGCCAGGATTGTGCAGAAGAAGGATTTCCAGGGCCAAATCCCTCTAGCTCTCTCTCATCCTGTCTCCATGTAGTATGGCCTTTCTCTGCTTCCTGGGACAGTTTTTTTTTTATTGTTGCTGTTGTTGTTGCTTTGTTTTTTATTTTCAGTCCTGAGGATAAAAATCAGGGCTTTGCTTAACCTCACTCTACAGGGATCTATACTTCTGGGAATATTTATTAGTACTTGGATAAAACCACGTACTATATGTAAATGTATATGAGTGCAAATGTATATGTAAACAGAATGTCCATGTCAATATAAATTTTCTAAGACAGAGTCTCATAGGTTGGTTTTTAAATTTTTTATTGTATTTGCTTATTTATTTTAATTTTTGATGTCTTTAATAGCATGTATTAACTATACATTAATATATATGTATATTAACTATACATATTGCTAACCAATAATAATTGGTTATGTCATTAGGACTTTGTTTTGTGTTTATTTGTTTGTTTGCTTGTTTGTTTTTCAAGACAGGGTCTCTCTCTGTAACCTTGGCTGTCCTGGAACTCACTTTGTAGACCAGATTGGCCTTAAATTCAAGATTAGCCTGCCTCTTCCTCCCAAGTGCTGGGATTAAAAGTGTGTGCTACCACTGTCCCACTCTTTATGACATTTTCATACATGTACACAATGGATTTTTACTGTATTTAAAACACACACACACACACACACACTGAGTTACCCTTTCTTGTCCCCCTTCTCCTCCCACTGGGCTCCTCTTTTATTTTCCTCTCCCCCCCCCTCTGTGTGTGTTCCAATGAATTCGTCATTAGGTTGTCTTTGGGAGCATGTACTACATACATAAGAGCAGTGGATATACCACTGAGGAAAATGTCTGAAGCCAGTCATGGTGCATACACTTTTTTTTTTTTTTTTTTTTTTTTTTGGTTTTTCGAGACAGGGTTTCTCTGTGGTTTTGGAGGCTGGTGCATACACTTTTAATCCCAGCACTCGGGAGACAGAGGCAAGTAAATCTCTTCTGTTAGAGGTCAGCCTAGTCTACAGAGTGAGTCCCAGGACAGCCAGGGCTGCACAGAGAAACCCTGTCTCAAAAAAAAAAAAAAAAAAAAAAAAAAACCACCCCTCCCAAAAGAAAAGAAAAGTTTTGCCATATTTGCTTATTTATTTTAAAGCTTTTTCATCGTTTTAAGTGTGTGAGTGTGTGTGTGAAAGGTGTGTGCACATGAATGCAGGTGCCCTGGGAAGCCAGAGGCATTGATCCCTATGGAGCTGTAGTTAAAATAGCTGAGCCATCTCTCTGTTTTAATAGAACCAGCCCCCATTTTTTTATTGTTGTTTTATTTGAGACAGGGTTTCTTTGTATCCTAGAACTCACTTTGTAGACCAGGCTGGCCTCAAATCCACAGAGATCCCCTTGTCTCTGCTGGGGTTAAAGGTGTGAGCCACCACCTCTTGACTTCCCTATATTTTTAAAAATAAGAAATGTTTCACAGATTTGCATGTCATCCTTGCACAGAGACCATGCTAATCTCTCTACTGTATCATTCCAATGTTAGTATGTGTGTGTTGAAAGGAAGACCATCTTTATTTTTTTTATTGAAAAAATTTTCTCATTCAATATATTCTGATCATGGTTTCCTCTCCCCCCAACTCCTCCCAGATCTTTCCCACCCACCCAACTCTGTGCCCTTTCTCTTTCTTTAAAAAACAAATAACAATAGCCAAAAAACCCACAAGATACACACATATGGACAAAAACAAAACCCATAAAAGCACAAAATCGGTAACCATAATATATAAGCAAAAGTCCTGGAAGACAAAAAATGCCCAAACAAAGTAATATGAGACAAAAGTCTACAAAACACCATTGAGATTGTTTTGTGTTGACCATCTACTGCTGGGCCTGGGGCATGCCCTAAAGTGTGGTCAATATACCCAATGAAACTTCATTGAAGAAAGCTAATTTTTCCTTTGTAAGTGAATGTCAGTTAGAGATAGCTTCTTGGTTAGGGATGAGAACTCTCGTCCAGTTCTCCCTCTCAGCACTGGAATCCATTTGGCTTGGACCTGTGCCGGTGCTGTGAGTTCTGCTCAGTCTGTGAGTTCTTATGTGTCAGTCTGTTTATCTGGAAGACACTCTGTCTACCAAGCTGCATCCCATCCATTTATTTATTTGTCTACCCATCTACTTATTATTTACCTAGTTATTCTCATTACATAGCCCAGGTTGGCCTGGATCATGAGAGCCTCTTGCTTCTGCCTCCAAAGCATAAGTAAATTAGTCCCACCATTCCTTCCTTCCTTGACTGTACTTAGGCCTGAACCTAGATCTTGTGTGAGCTACACAAGTGATCTACCACTGAGTTGCCTATCTACACACACAACACTCCCTTTTCTCCTCACTTTGTATTTTCAGGACAGGTGTTTGTTCAATCTCCAGGACCCACATGGTAGGCGAGAACCAACGGAAGCCAGCAAGTTGTCTTCTGATCTCCGAATGACCCTGACTTCAACATCCTTGGCAAGATCCCCATCTATGGACATTTAGGTTGTCTTCCTCAACTACTACAAGAGATAATACAGCTATGCTGGGTTTTTTGTTTGTTTTTCTTTTTTAGGGGAAAGGCTATGGGTCACTGACGGCAGAAAAACATGTCCTCCATCTTTGGCTTGGTGATTGGGCCCCAGTATATCTGAAGTGAATCCTGAGGAAGCCTGACTTTATATGTGTGTGATTGGGGGAGGGAGGTTATCTCTGTTGGAAGTTGAGAAATAGTTATTTAGTATTCAGTAAATATTAAATGGTAAGAGTTTACAGTTTCACATGTGCACCTTACTCAGTGTTACTTTGTTTGCTGTGGTTTGGACATTTTTTCAAGGCAAAAGTCTGAGTAATTACATATAGGAACATCTATGCAAATGTGGGTGGCCATCTTTTAAAAATTTTTAAATGATTTTATATGTGTGGGTATTTTGTCTACATGCATATCTGATGTCTGTGAGCTCTCATGTGGTACTGGGACCTCTGAAAATCAGCCAATGGTCTTATCAGCTGAGTCATCTCTCCAACCATAGGTGGCCATCTTTACCTAAAGTGTGCATATGTCTGTGTTTGCATCAGGTCTGTCCTCAAGAATGTGTGTTATGTTAATTGCATCTGCAGCTAGGAAAGCATGAGGGTCTTTGTGCTCGTGTCTAAGCATCAGTGCTGTCTGCTTTCCTAGGGTCTTTGTGCTCGTGTCTAAGCATCAGTGCTGTCTGCTTTCCTGGGGCCTGTGTCTCTGTGCTAGAGCTCAATTCTATCTGTATTGACTTCTGTGAGCATCTTTGTGCTGGGTGTGCTTGCTCATCCTGGACCAGTGTGAATGTGAATGCATGTACACCCAAAGGAGCTATGCACTTGCTCCTGCATAAGAGCAGAATGGTGCCCAGAGCACAGGTGACGCACCCGCCCTGGTCTCTGCATTCTCCTGGGAACCAGCTTACAAGTGAGACCGTGAGACCGAGACCAGACTGCGTCAGGAGCACAGGCCCCTTTTGCAACCAGCCCTGGCCCCAGGCTGTAACCACAGATCGTATTGCACAGGTCAGACCTGCCCACTGTGCCTGGCTGCCAGGAAACCCAGCTCTTAGCAAGGCTGCGCCAGCAGTGCCTTCCTTGGGCTTGGGCCAGATCCATGGTGAGGTGAGCAGAATATAGTAGAGGGGCCTCATGAGTCACTGTGAACAGCAGGGAGTGACTTCCTGGGTCTAAGCACTGTTGCTTTCTGTCCCTGGATGCAGCAATACTTAGGCAACCTCGTGTCTATCAAGTGGCTGTTCTGAGTCTCCCAATCTTGAATCTAAGCCTGCATGGGGATTTGACAGTTCTGCTCTGAGAAATGGGTCTCAAACTGAACCTAGGGAAAGACAACTTTAATCCCAGCACTTGGAAGGAAGGGGCAGTTTGGTCTTTATAGCTAGTTTCAGGACAGCCTACATAGAAAGACCCTGTCTCAAAAAGAAGGGGGGAGAAAGAAGGACAGGAAAGAAGGATGGAAGGGAGGGGGAGAAGAGAAGAGAAGAGGAGAGGAGAGGAGAGGGGAGGGGAGGGGAGGAGAGGGGAGGGAGGGGAGGGGAGGAGGGGAGGGGAGGAGAGGGGAGGGGAGGGGAGGGGAGGAGAGGGGAGGAGAGGAGAGGGGAGGGGAGGGGAGGAGAGGAGAGGGGAGGAGAGGAGAGGAGAGGAGAGGGGAGGAGAGGGGAGGGGAGGAGAGGAGAGGGGAGGGGAGGGAGGAGAGGGGAGGGGAGGAGAGGAGAGGGGAGGGGAGGGGAGGAGAGGGGAGGGGAGGGGAGGAGAGGAGAGGAGAGGGGAGGAGAGGAGAGGGGAGGGGAGGGGAGGGGAGGGGAGGAGAGGGGAGGGGAGGGAGGAGAGGAGAGGAGAGGGGAGGAGAGGAGAGGGAGGGGAGGGGAGGGGAGGGGAGGAGAGGGGAGGGGAGGGGAGGAGAGGAGAGGGGAGGGGAGGGGAGGGAGGGAGGAGAGGGGAGGGGAGGGGAGGAGAGGAGAGGGGAGGGGAGGGGAGGAGAGGAGGGAGGGAGGGGAGGAGAGGAGAGGAGAGGGAGGGGAGGGGAGGGGAGGGGAGGGGAGGAGAGGAGGGGAGGGGAAGGGAGGGGAGGGGAGGAGAAGAGAGGAAAAAAGAAACGGGTCTCTTGGAGGGCAAAGCTGAACAGTCCAGGGCTCTGGAGTCTGGTAGTCCTAGGCTGGGGATTAAAAGGAGGGGAGACAGAGCTGGGGAGAGGGTGAGAATGCAGATGCTATCACTGAGCTATCTACTCTGCTGCTCGAACATTTGGGGGGCTTTCTTTTCAAACTAAGGCTGAAGGATGGGCCGACACCTAGGGTGACTGTGGGACTCACTTTCAAACTATAGGGTCTTGGATAATACTCTGGGTGTACAATAATCTACTTGTAACCGCTCTGGAAGATAGACTCCATTATCATCATCATCTCCATGCCTCTTTGACCCTTAACCTGCAACAGGATGCCTCCCCCCCCCAGACAACATCGAGGGGCATCAAGAAAGTGTTTGGGTTCTGTGTGCTGAGGGATTCCCAGGGGCCTGTTGGAACTGGAAAGAAGATGACTGGACCCCACACAGGGACACCTGTCCGTTGTAGCTTCCTCCTTTGTGCCTGTGTTCCCTGAGGAGACTCCACTGTTTCTGTCTGCCTTCCTCTTCAGCCCAAATCATCTAACCGTGTTCCCAGTAGCTGTCCCTCTGGCAGTGCTGAGTTTGTTGTCCTTGTACAACAGGAGGCTCTTTATTCTGGAGACTGTATGCCCAACCCACTCATCCTTTTGCCAGGCAATGGGCTACATTCTTTGATGATCATTACCCTCACCAATAACACACACACACACACACACACACACACACACACACACACGCACGCACGCACGCACGCACGCACGCGGGCGTTATGCACAGCCTAGGAGATTTAGTCTCTAGTTCCAGCCCCATCCTTACTTGCTGGGTGACTTTGAGCAAATTACGGCCTTCCCTGTTGTCTGAGTTTCTAGCAGTTATGAAGCGGGGCTAATACTCTCTGCCCCTCCCTGGCTCCCAGGGGACCAGTGAGGATAAGGAAGATAATAGCCGAGAACTGATTTGGAGGAAGCTATTCAGTGCCAAGTAAGAGGTATCAGAGCTGGTCTGTGTTTACATGGGTGTGGAGCTTTGGTTCCCAGCCTCCTGGGGCTTGGGACCAGCCCTGACAGCTTCTTGGCTCTTGGTTTCTTTGTCCCACTTCCAGAGCAAGGACAGAAACTGAAGCTGAACCCAGTAGTCTAACGTTGAGACTACCACAGTGTAGACTTTGGGGCTTTCAGTTGGAACACTGGCTTCTTAGCCTGGCAATAATCCCAAACACAGACCTGTCACTGCCCCTCTCTGGGCTTTAGCTTCTCAATGATGACAGCCTCCTGGTTCTGGACTGAGATAGGAGAGGACCCTAGAGCCTGTAATTGAATGCTAATGTCACTGATGTGGGACAGGAAAAAAAATTGTCATCTAAATCTACCTTCTTTATTTCCTGTATTTCTCTCACTGTTGGGGCCACAGGCAAACCACATGGTCCACATGGCCAACTCCAAACCATAAATCATTTGCAAAGGGGATTGTGTGGAAGAAGGTATATGGGTCAGAGAGAGGTCTCAGAGAACACAACCCAAGTGAGTCTGGACTAACCGTGTGCCTTCTCCGCCAGCGTTTGCTTCTTCTGCCTGCAGCCCTCACTGCACCTCTAACCTGCTGCCCTCAACCTGATGCTCACCCTAACAGCCATCCCAGGACTCCCCTCACTGGAGCCACCAGAAAGGCCTCCTCACACCCTTTTAGTCACCAAAGACAGCCTCCAACCAGGACTCCTCCCCCTGTCCTGCTTCCAACCATCTGCGATGGACAATGACTTCCTTGTCCCCAGCCTGGCAGGGTCTGAAGTCTGTGATTCCTTAGTCTTTGGCTATTGCTCCTGCCAATCATGCCTCCCGTTCCCTCCTTGTCCTCCTCCTCCATCCTCTCCCTCCTCCCAAGACACTGTTCTT